CCCTTCAAATTTGACTCAGATGTCCACTTGTACTAAAGGATGGACTGATTAGATTTTGGTGGTCAAAGGTCAAGGTGATTATGACAAAACACACAAACTCACAAAACACGTTTTTGGCCATAACTCACAAATTCATTTGCTAATTATGATGCAATTTGGAACAAAAGTGTAAAATGCAGTAATGACATTTTTTATCCAAATAGTCAAATGTCAACTTCACTTTGACAACATAATGTTCTGCAATAACTGGCTACTATTCAATGATGTAACTCAAGAAGGGGAGATTGTGACCATAATTTCCTTCAACTTGCTTGGTTGGCAGAGGCATACAACCGCAAGGCGGTAATTCTAGTTCTTATTATGAATGTTTTCTGGTCAGTGACTACAGATAATGCTTGGTGTAAGTATACTAACTCACTCTAATTATAAAGCTGAACCAGTGTGTAATCCATAACATACACAGTTAATTTTTAACCATCATATCTTTCACTGTAACCAGACTGGGCCAGTTGTGTAAATATTGGTCTTGCATTGTCTACCTGTTGGGTGTTTGTATTCCAGGTGTAAAGGGATACAGGTGAGAGCGTGTTGTTTTCCCCCATTGTTAGTTTGTCTCACAAGATGAAAAACCTGTAAGGGATGATACTCTTTCAAAAAACTTTACAAAGAAAAGGACACCCTTAGGACACAAATTAGGGATATGGCAAACAAAGCATTTAAAGACATGCTTTGTTTGCCATATCCCTAATTTGTGTAATCATGGTGTGTGTGTGTGTGTGTGTGTATATATATATATATATATATATATATTCCCCCCTTTTTGAGGGGGAATATTATCTTTGTTTGGCTTTTATGTGACTTACATTGTTGGCAGGTTGTGTCATGTTGTGCCTGTTGTAACTGTCCAAAGATTTGACCATTTTGTGCAAATGTATCACACTGAGATAACCTGGTTAAATGCAACATGAGCTGTAAAATATGAGAACTATCAGTGAAATCATGTACAGGACTGGTGTGTCAGGCCCTTATGAATAAAGCAATTTTGATTTCAGATTCGCCCACCACAGGTGTAGGTGCTGTTGCTGGACAGAGGCCCTAGCAGAATGTTTTATGCATTGGCCAACATTTGTCAGTTTAAAAATTGACCTAATTAGACTTGGATTAACAAACACAGTTTAACAACAATGAAGAATCATGTACTTCATTATTTTCTCAATTAATTGATTAATTTAAGAAATATCAAAAAACGTAGATTAAAAAAATTCTCCAGGCCCCCAGTTTCTTGTTTTGATTGACCCTCCAAAACCCAGTTTACTATCATATATGACAAGGAAAGGCAGAAAAGCCTCACATTTGAGAAGCTGAGAATTTTTTGCTTGTATACTGTTGTAACTTGAGTAAAACCTGTGGTTATTGGTACTTTCATATCCTGTCAAACATAGTTGCTAAAAACAAATAGTGAGTGACTCATTGTGCCATCTGCAGCTTTTTTGTTCTGTTGTAGTCACTGTTTTTTATTTGTAATTTTTTTATTTGCTACATCTTTCTAGTTAACTATGTTTTTAGGCTTGTGTACCTTTATATCTTTGCAAATTTCCAATTCCTTTTGATTTGCTTCTGAGGTCCATATTTCCAGCAGTTTGTATGTTTGTTTAAAGGATCGCTGGATTACATTACATTCATCTAGCCATACCTCAAAGCTCTCTAGCTGCTTCCTTCAGTTGCCTACAAATGAGCTTAGTTTTAAATGATGATGGCACTGTCCTGCATTTGTCATGGATTCCATGGTGGAAACACTGCAATGGTTGCATATTTGGTTCAGCAACCAGCTCAGGCACAGGCATGCTGTTGAAAAGCCCGTATTATGATGACTTCCTGACCTGAGTGTTCAGTGATTGTTACTGTTACCTAGGAGACAAACTGCATTTGTCAGAAGTTGGCTACATATTCCAGTTGAGGTTGTAATATTGGTAAGACCAATGGTAAAATAGTACTGGAAAATTTTACTCAAGTAAAAGTTCTGTTACTTCATTTTTCTCGAGTAAAAGTAAAATTACTAAAGTAAAAATGTAAGTTAGTTAAAATGTACTATCAGTTAATAAATACTAATGTAAGAGTTGCTGATTTGAAAAAAAAAAAAAACCCAAAAAGTAGAAGTTACAAATTCGTTACAGTAATGAGAGTAAAAGTAATTGGTTCCTTACACCCTTGTATGCATACATATCTTGTGTGTTGAACCTCTTTACTATATATCTGTGCTTGCATCCAAGAAATATTCATGTATCTGTACTTTTGCCAATTTGACAAAGACCTTTCTTTTCACCAGGAGAATTTGTAACTTTATTTTTTTGAAGGCCAAAAAAGGACAACAAAATGAAATGAACAGCAGGAAAAAATATGCAGCAATAGAGATAGAGTGGGAGAAAGTACAATCAATAGGCGCTGGTTCCTGATCATGCAGGCAGGGAGGAGGATGAAGGAAGAGGTGGAAACTAAAAGACAGAGAGTGGCAACAGGTCAGAGGAACAAATTTCCTCCCCACTGAGGTCAGTCCTGTTGGAGACGAGGGAACTTATGACATAGCACAGGTGCCCTTTTATTATGAAGCTCAAATTCACTCAGTCATTTTTAAAAGCTCAAAACTGGAAATGAAATAGGTTACTATTGAGAAAAAAAAACTACAGAGTTGCTTTGAAATCTCAGAGTACATCTGGTTTGCTATTTACATTAGTAAATGCTTTGTAACTGCTTGTCTACATTAAACTTGTAGCCGTTCAAAGCCATTGTGAATGAGTCATTTGGTTCTACTTTGGCTGCCTAAAGATGAGCTATGGATGGTGTGTTTATGTTTGTGTCGGCTTGACATATTGTTGCTCTTGGGTGGGATCTTTTTCTGGTGATGTCACATGCATTGCCTTGTGCTAAACAACCACCCCCTCCCATCTCCTCCCCCAGTCCCATCAACCTTTAAGGGGGGAAAGATTTTCCACATGAAGGAGAAGTTGTGGTAATGTTTTTTTTGACTGATACAGTCCAATTTTAAGTTGTACGTCTTGAGCACAGCAAATTTAGCTGTATTGCTACCATTACTGTTGTCATTTTTAGTTTGTTAGAGTGATACTCTGAGTGATACTCGGGATCTATGTTAGTTTTTATATCTGTGGTGGCTGTTCCGCTTGATTAAGGTGTATACAGCAAAGACAGATCTGAAAAGTAAAACCACCGTCCATGATGTTTCAACTAGGTTGCATTTATAGCTGCTTAATAAAACATTATCCACTTTTGAATGGAAGAAGCAAGCATTATGTTTTTGGATTAATACTTGGGAATAAGAAATGTCAAATAAAGTGAAAAAAATCACAATCCCAACATCACAGAGCTCAAGTTGACATCTTTAAATGTCTTGTTTTGTTTGATCAGAAGTCGAAAACCCAAAGGTAATCAGTATTAGTAGTATTGTTTTATAGAGAAATTGGAACCTGAGAATGTATTGCATTTTGTCACTATTTTTGCTTGAAATATGACAATTACTTTTCTGTCTAATTGATTAATGGACTAATCATTTCAGCTCTAGAGCAATGGGCAATCAGCTTTGTACTAAAGCAGGCAGGCTCATCGAGTCTTGCTAGCTGTGTCTTAGTGGCAAGGGTCTGGTAGTTTTTGGAATAATGTGCACTAGCTGCTGGCAATGAAGATTTGTAACAAAAGAACTCGAATAATAACCTTGTGATTAGGATTTTGCTGCTTCAGTTTTTGACTGACAGTACCAATGTGGATGATGCAGTGACTAAGGGCCTGATTCACAAGAGAAGAATAGTCCTTGTCCGACCATGTTGGAAAATCAACTTCTGAAGCTATGTGTACTGTCAGCTTGAGTGTTTGTCCCACCATCATCTGCACCACTGAGGTGTCCCTGGGGAACCCCATAAAGTTATACCCCACCCAAAACCCTGTTGCTCAACTTCCTCTGAAGAGAGGAAAAACAGAGAAATGTGACTACCTAGTGAGCAGGGAGTTGTTGAAAAAGGGATATACTCAGTAAACCCATGCTAGGTAAATAATGACTTTACGCAAAACTAGGTGCTGTTAAAATGATATATGTAAACCAATTGGTTAAGTTTATACAGTCCATGGCCCCTAATGCTAAAAATACAATTGACATTAGTAATTAATTTACACACACAATAGGCATACACAGAGTCGGGGCTTGTTTTTAGCGAAAGCACACATCTGTACTGCACTGAAAATCATTCAAGTAAAAATTTCATTATTTAAAGCAAGGAAAAATTAGCTCTGCATGTGTGAGAAGCATTGGAGAATAAAATAAAAGTAAACCTTGTCAAATCTACCTCTTAGTGTATGGTCTCTGCATCAAGTCAGTTTCCTTTTGTCTATTGATCTGTGGGGACACCTGGTTGCTTGATTTATCTCTTCACTAAGTATGAACTCTGCTGGCTTATGAGCTGCGTGAATATTAAAACTTTAGTTTACATGATTCTAAAAACCTTCAAAGATCCCAGTTCTGTTATCTTCTGTGTTTGTGTGTGTGTGCTGTGTCTCTTAGTTACAGAAGAAGAAAAAAAAAAGGCACTTCCCCTAACACCTTAAACATCCGCAGCTCAATGAACAATGTCAGTGGAGTAAGTAAGAGCTGGCCTACAATAAGTAAACATATCACAATAGAACTCCCTGCCCAATAAATATACACCTCAATGCTCAAAATAAAAGTTTTCTGTGCTTCAACAATGTGGCAAGTAACAATCCTGTCCTCTTATGTTTTCATATTCACATAAGTTCTGGAGGGAAACTAAAGTCTTTCAATTGTGTGTTTAGGGAGGAGCTACACTGTTTTCTTCCATCTTTATCTTGTATCAAAACTCACAACATCATAAGACTGAAGCATTTCCAGACCTTCCTCTGTTTCTGTAGTTCTCTGCTCTCAAACAATATTGTCCTGAAGTCACGTTTAATCAGATTTCCACCTGTTTTTCTTCTGGCAGAAATATTTCATCAAAGGTGTTGGTTAACCTCTGCACACAAGGATTTGCTTGGGAGAAATGTGAATTTTCCACAACCTCGGGATCTATATGTTCCTGCAGGGTCAAGTTACAGCCAGTGAAAAGTAAGTCACTGCATACGTGTGTACTCCAGGTAGACATGTATGCATTGTGTATTCTTTCCATGCTTGAGTAAGACAACAACAGAAATTGATATGCAATTCTGACTTACAAGTCACAAAACACAGCTACAGTAATTTTGAAATTAATAGCAACCCATATTCAGTATTCCTGAATTCCCTGTATTCCCTGGGTAAATAATGGTTAGTTTATTGGTTTCAGGATTAGTTTGTTTTTCTCACTGCCAGTTCAGTTCAGTGAGATTATTTCTTCACCGAGCACGCTGTAAGCTGATTCACAGACCAAAGGTCCTCAGCACACAGCTGACTCAGTGACAGCTAATCTTTGATCTGTCTCAACTGCACACTGTTAACAGATTGATGCAAGTGCTCTTTGTCTCTATTAACCTTTATCTCCACTAAATCCCATTCTCCTTTGCACTCTTCACACCATGTGAAGACACAGCTGGGTTGTCACATAGGAATGAGGAGTCTCATGCTGTGCCATTTGCATGCTATCATATACTTATTTTTCACTTCCTCTTTCGTGTTTGTATGTTACATTAGAATCCTGGGGTTATTGGGTCAGATTGTTCTCGGGGCCTCAGCAGGAATAAATCTGATGCCAGGTGTTGTTGTAGATGACCCATCTTACAGCCCATTTTATTTGGCCCTGTTTTTCTGGCCTAAATGAGCAGGCCTCTGAGCAGAGCCGAGGTGAGATGAGTTACTGATGTGCAGTGTGTTGTCCTGCCAACCGGCCGGCCTGCCAGTGTATTTAGCTGCTATTGGCCTGTGCTGAGCTGGCTGTGCTGGGGCCTGGCCGCTGGCTGATTGCCTCATTCCAGGGGTGGGGCTGCCTCAGTGCTCAGCACTGACCTTCACTCTGATTTATGAGTTCCTCCTTGCAGTCTGTTTCCTTGCCATCCTCCTCCTTTCCCTCCTGTTCATGCTGTAGATTAGAACTTGGTTCCAGCTGTACCTCATACTCCCCCAAACATAAGCAGGGCCACCCTGTGTCTACCACCGACATCGCAGTCTATAAACAAATGCATGATATGCAGCAGATGTGTGAGTTCATCTGCTTGTTATTGCTAAGCTTTGGCGGTTGCCTGAAGCCTGGATGAGAAACATGCACTATGGAAAAGTTAAATTGGATCAACAGATAATTAATTGGCAGCTTTTTGATGATTTGAATAAACGTAGAGATTTTATTTTTTAAAACCAAAAATGGTAAAAAAGTATAGTATATAATATAGTTGGTATATATCTGCTATATTTACAGTGTAGAAGCACCTAGACTTTCACTTTTTTTTTTTTTTTTTGTTTGTTTGTCTTGAGTAATAAATTGGTTAAGTAACCTAAATTACATGGTCAGTCTTGGCAGTCTACGCCATCAAATTGTGGAAATGTAGATTTATCTGTGTCTGGCCCTGTCTGTTCTGCTTATCAAATGATTAATCATGGCCTCACTGTACATGCTTTCTTTTCTTGTGCCATCTTACACTTTCCTTCAGTTCACCTTGGATCTATTTACACACCGTTGTCAATAATAGTGGTTTTGAACCAGGAACCAGTTCATGTTGGTAGTTGAAAAGTGCCACTGCATACACTACTTATGTATGCTGACCCTCTTCTCATTGGAAAAGAGGGTTATGTATAAAAGCTAATCGGATGTTGCCACTGATGTACGAAAGGTTCCCCTGCAGTGAGGATCAAAGAGGGGAAACCTGCTGATCGATCAAGTCCTTGTACTGTTGTTATTACTGTTGGGAATGCTTTAGAATGATGTGAATTATTCATTTAATGTTTAATGTCTGTGAAACGGAGCTGTGATTTCCATTAATTTAGAGTTGTCCAAACAACTGCTACTACCTTATTCAGTCACAGTGGGTTTCCTGGTCTGGCCTGGTATCCAGTCCAGGACTACCCCCAACTAGAGTTTGGCAGTCATCAGTAGGATTTTGAATCATGTTCTTGTTTAATGGGTGGAGAATGTGGAAGTGGATAGTCGTCACTACATTCTGATTCACAGCGTTTTATTTTTCCTTTAACAGGGGTGCAGTGTGTGGTGGGAAAAAAGCTGATGAGGTGAAGAAAGTTGAAAGAGGCCACTGGATTCACCTGCTATCTATTGGACTTAATCCTGAGTGACCCTGCTGCCTACTTTCTCTACATCATTTCTAGAGGAGGCTGGAGGCCCTCTGGGTGCAAGAAACACCATGTGCCAAAACTGGAGAGGACTTCCTACTGCCCCATAAGACTGCCAAACCTCTTGCGAACCTTCCTCTCTAGTCCGAGGAACCTCCTAATCCTCTAAATTGCCCGCTGGCAAAGATGAAGAAGGTGGCAGCATGGTCAGCAGAGGACGTCTCTGACTGGCTGAGCAAAGAGGGGATGCCAGAGTATATAGAGGCCCTCCGTCAGATGGATGGTCCCGCCATGCTCAGGCTCACCAAGGCAGATTTCCAGAATCCTCCCCTCTCGTTGGTGTCATCAGATGGCGGGGAGCAGATGATGGAGCGACTGGAGACGCTGAGGATAGAGAACCATATGGAGGCTCACAAAAACGGTCATGCAAACGGGCATGCCGGTGGGCTACCTAATGGGACAAGCAAGCCCCAGAGGAATGGCACACTGGGGAGGAAGGACTTAAGGATGGAGATGGTCCACATCCCCATTCCTACTATGGAAGCTATGCGCTCCTCGTTCCCTGCCGAGTGGAGGAAGACAGGCATAGCGTTCTTCTATGCGGTGGTGTGCTTTGTTACCACCACTGTTGTCATTTCAGTGGTCCATGAGAGAGTACCGCCAAAAGAACATACCCCACCACTGCCCGATAAGTTCTTTGACCTCTTTAACAGGGTGGAGTGGGCTTTCTCCATCTGTGAGATTAATGGCATGTTATTGGTTGGACTGTGGCTGATACAATGGATTCTACTCAAGCACAGGTACACGCAGAAAGCTCTTAGTAAATGACATACAAAACATCACATTCTAATGAGTTCTAATCTGAATTCAGACTAAATGAAAATGTCACGTTGTTCATTTTCTTTGTCTTTTTTTCCAGGTCGATTATTGGGAGGCGATTCTTTTTCATTGTGGGCACACTCTATATGTACCGGTGTATTACAATGTACATTACCACTCTGCCTGTTCCTGGGATGCACTTTAAGTGCTCTCCAAAGGTATAATACATACATTTATTTCTCTCAGCACTATGAAGGGTTCCGTCTTACTTAACTGCTTTTGGAACAAATGTGCTGAATGGGCAAATTCAGCAAAATGAAACCTCTTCTGTTCTCGCCACTGACCACTGATTGCAAGATGTGTGCAATCAAAATTTTTTTTTTTTTTTTTTTTTTTAAAAAGGAAGAGGCCCTTCAAGTGATTGTTTAACTTTTTGTAGTTCCTGTTAAATAGTGCAAATGCTATGAAAGCATCACTATTTTCTTTCATACTGACTTACTGACTGGTCAGAATTCAGAAAATAGATGTAGCACAATCAGTGGTAAAAACCTTCATCTGGTAAAATTAAAAAATTGCATTCACCAAAGGAAAAAAAAAAAAAAGAAAAAGTTGAGTTTGGGCAACTAAAACTGTTGAAGTTGTTAGGGAGGGGGAAGTTGTCATTGTTAAAACAAACCAACTCTTAAGTGTGGGAGAAAGGTAATAGGATGGAACATGAAGCATGTTTTACACTTATTTTACACCGCCTTACGGATGGATGTGGCACTGCTTCATTATGTGTTATCAAATGCAGACACTAACATGGGTTGTTTAGGTTATGGTTTTTCTGAGGAAGTCAAAGTAAAAAAGAATACTACTGAATTTACTGTAAATATAGTTGAGATATTTCTACTTGATTTTTTTCCCCACTTTGTGTTATGTTTTATTTCAACATTACTACTAATGTTTTAAAGGAAATATTAGCAGGAAATCATCTTTTTACTCCACCAAATGTGTCTGATGGTTTATTTAAATAATAATGACTTTATTTGCAAATGTAGGATAAGCTCATGTGATACATTGTTGTATATTTGATTACCCAAATTAGTATTTCCACTTTTGATACTTCAACTACATTTTGCTGATAATACATTTGTGCTTTTAACTAAAAACTTTTGAGTGTGGGAGTTTAGCTTGTAACCATGTATTTTACACTGTATTGCTATCATTTCTAAGGTCAAGCATCGGGATACCTTTGATCTCTGTAACTGCTCCTCAAATTAAATCATTGTGCAACATTTGTAGCAGAAATGAGACAATTTGATGAGAAGAAAAAAAGTTGTACTTAAATATAGAAGGTGAAAAAAATGCACATGCAATGTAAGATTATCTCAGAAGCAACGGAGAAGTCTTAGAGGTGGCATTACAGGTGATTCAAGACTCAATTTGAAAACTTGATGGTGGCTGTCCTCACCTATGAAGAAAGGCTAGTAGTAGTAGTTCCTGTTAATAACCCAAAATTGATGTAATGTATGACTGTGTTTCTTTTAGCTTCTCGGGAACTGGGAGGCACAGATGAGGAGAATAATGAAGATGATTGCTGGTGGGGGCCTATCTATCACAGGTTCCCACACCATGTGTGGAGATTATTTGTACAGTGGCCACACTGTAATGTTAACACTGACATACCTCTTCATCAAGGAGTGTAAGTTCCACTGTGATTATAGTAATGTTTAGTGTACAAGAATATACACTTTTGTGTACCCCATCTGCCATGATCTAGTTCACATCTCCTTCAGAAAGTCAGATCAAACGTCAAAAGAATGAAGTACAGATCAGAAATGATGATTGGGCTGTTAAATCGTGGTTTTAAAGGAGTAAGCAGGTTCTCACAGCTTCATCTGAATCTGGACAATCATTGATCATTTTGCATGATCTCCAAATTTTTATCTTTTTTTTTTTTTTTTAAATTGGCATTAAGTTGTACTTACAACAACATATACTCAATTTCATAACTGAAGTTTTAGGTTCACATGCCACAATTTTCCTGTCATCTGTATCTCACTGATAACATTCAGCTCTTTGACTTTCACACTTCTCTGCCCTGTCAGGAAATGTGAAAATGTTATCTTACACTATTCACTTACACATCTGCTAACATGTTTTTGTGTTAAAATATTGCTCCATCACAGAACCACATTTTCTGTTCCTCAGCAGGCATTTCCATTACCTAACTTTTGGTTTACACACCCAGTTGGTCGAAGACAAAGTCCAAGGGTTGGAAGTTGTCGCATTTTAACTGCTATGTCAAGTTGTAGAAATCATTACATTACTCATGCAAGCTTTGAGTAAAGAGTTGTCTTCTGCTACATCACATGGTCCTGCAAAGCTTTTCCAACACGTTTGTGTTGACAGACCTGATTGATGCAGCAGCGACATCTAGTGGGGAAAAGGAGAACAGTTACTTCTGCAAAAGAGCCACAATGTCTCTTCTCAACCTTTGAGGCCAGTGTTTTTCCACCAGCTAGATCACATTTACTGCCCCCGATGGCCCATTTAGCTGTGAAAGAATTCAGCCTCTTCTCTAAGGTCAATACTGTTGAGTCTTTGGTATAACTTTTTTTTGTTTGATTGGCAGATTCTCCCAAGCGGTTCTGGTGGTACCACTGGTTTTGCTGGATCTTAAGTGCTGTGGGAATTTTCTGCATCCTTCTGGCCCATGACCACTACACTGTGGATGTAGTGGTGGCATACTTTATCACTACACGTCTCTTCTGGTGGTACCACACTATGGCCAACCAGCAGGTAATCATGTTACCTTGGATTTTGAATTGAAGTAAAAGTGAAATGAGTGAAGTCAATTGGTACACAGGTTTATTCAGTGCATTTGTCTTCTAGTCCTTATCGTTATCTGGTAATAAACAAACTGGTACATTTATTTTAGTACCTAAGAAGTTACATCGAGTATATACACAGAGAATGGTCAAGGTGGGAAATGTACAGTCAGATTGTTATTCCATATGCACTTGTTTTTGTTAAGTGGAACACAAGTTGGAAAGCTGAAGCACTTTCCTTGGGCACTAAAGAATATAATGCATCTTGTATACATGGTTGGGCCACATGACAATAGATAATGTGTTATCAACTGTCACAGATTTGTACTGTATATTTTATACTGAGGCAGCTATAGTTATACTTAGCTTCCTTTTAAAGGAATAGTTTGACGTTTTGGGAAGTATACTTATTCACTTTGTAGCGATAGCTTAAAGACTGGAAATAGTTTGATAAATAACACTCGTCATTTTTACACTGTGGCTTTTTTTTATGGATTAAATGATTGAAATATGATGTGTTAATTATTGAGCTTTGGAGGTGCTGGTAGGAAGGTTTTTGGACAGAGGAAGGGTAGCTGTCCCAGTTTGTTGGTAATGTAGTATTTTGGTATTAATCTGATGAAGTATCTTGAATTTTAATTCACTGAATTGGCCAAATAAATATATTCTCGTCTGGTTATTTTAGCTATAAATTGTTTCTCAAGTACACCATAGTATCTGATTTCCACTTGCCCCCCCCCTGCCTTTTATCTGTGTGTAAAAGATTACATGTGAAAGACTTTAAGAACAGAAAGTACAGCTGACACAATGTGAAATGACAGTAGTCCCTGAATAATTTGAAGCAATTTGTTCAAAACATAAACTGGTAAGGAAATGTGTATTAGATATTCAATGACCGCACTAATAGCACTTGTGTCTTTGATTTGTTTCAGTCGCTGAAGGAGACATCACAAAGTAACCCGTTCTCGCGGGTGTGGTGGTACAGACCGTTCCAGTACTTTGAAGAGAATGTCAACGGTATGGTCCCTCGTAACTATCAGCTGCCGTTTTCATGGCGAGCCTTGCAGTGGAATCGTGGTCTAAAGTACAGCAGACTGGACATCCAGTGACTCCTCTCATGTCACAGCAGGCAAGGACCGTGATTTCCATAAGTGCTGTTTTTTACCCATGGAAGATGGAACTGTTTAATGTAGCGCTGTCCTTTCACATCTAGTAACAGACACATCGTGTCCAAATGGGTAAATGGGTAGCACTGTGACCCACCAAGTATTTTTTTTTTTTTCCTTGTGTGTATCTATATGTATATTTCTTTTGTTGTTTTTCTCTTCTGGTAGTATTTGTCCATACATAGCACTAATTTATATTTGTTTCATGTCTTTTCCTCTTCATGGGCCACATAAGTTTCTGCTTTTGTAGCAGATCTATGAAGCATTTCAACAAACAAACTCAAACGTTTTTGGCCACAAGGACTCAAATACTTTTTCTTCCTCTCAGCACAAAACCATAGTTCATGTCTTCATGTTCTTACAAGATTTTTAGTGCAGATAGTGTCAATCAAATGCTTATTTGATAACCAAAATGCCATAATGCCATTTTTCGTTTTGATAGCAAATTACTTTTTGTAAACTGTCCTTGCTAAAATGAGTCAAAGGTGCAAAAAATAATTTTTCTAAGTATGTCAAACTTTATTTTTCAAAAAACAAATGATGTCCAACAAAAGATTTTTAGATTTTTACCTTTTTCAAGATGGATAACTGAGAGCATAAGAATCTAATGTGGTATAACATTACTCCAGTGCCTTTCTTAGCTTGATTGTAAAACAGTTCAAGTTCTATTGTGTCTTGTATCTCGCTGCCGCGGGTGTGATCACGCCACGGTACAAGGTGGTACTTGGTTAACAGTCTCGTTCCCATGAATGTAAAAACAACTACGCCAGCCTTACCAAAAGATTGGTCTTCCCAAATTTAAGTGCAGTGAGTGAAATGTCCCGTTTATTTATGATGTCAGTTTGTGCTTAGTTGGTTAATGCTGTTCTAACAGAAATATGACTGTTAATTGTATTTTTATGTCTGTAACATTTCATTTTTCACCAACCAGTCTTTAACCAGCAATCAATGACACCATCATGTCTGCTAATTTTGTTTTCCACCCCAACTTTATCTGCTAAACATCACTGCCTAATTGGAAATTATATCAGAAAACTCTCCATGGTGCAAGTTGTTATGGACCTGGACATGTCTTGTGCATCATTGCTGCAACTTGCTCAGGAGATAATGAGCCCCAATCTTGTTCCCCACATTGAGTCCCATTTTGAAGAATTATCCTCATTACTGTCTTCTCTTGTAACCTTTTTAGTGATGAGATGTGGAAGAAAATATTCAATGTGACCCTTGTGCTGAGTTTAGGGAATGTCAAAGTTGTAAAAACAGAAACTTCAGGCAAAGTTTCTGAGCATGTCTGTAATGAATCTGTATGTGCTTTGTATAGTTTGTCTTGTACTAAATCAAGCTGCTACCTTTCAGTTTAAAGACTGTATCTTTTATGCCAAAACAAACTTTTTCCTAGAAGTAGCAAACAGATAACGTGGAACTTAAATGTGGGGAACAAACTGAAGCATGATGCGCAGAGCTGGTAATATAATTGGCCATATGTGTGCAAACATTGATTTCCATGAATGTGAAAATGCGTCCTTATTGATGATCCTAATCATGTACATGTTGACTTGTTCAGTTTTCTTTGTGTAACTATGAATGAACTGTAAAGACTGGCTATTACACAAGTTCATCTATAAGCAAAAGATTTAACTCATTATGTGAAACTTTAATTTCAAATCAAACTGATGAGCTTTGTTGAAAGAAAAACTGCACTAAACTTTAGATTATACAAATTCCAAATAAATAATGGTCACGCGATTATTTCAACATTGTCAAAGGGAGGTGAGAATACACCATTGTTTTCATTGTGACATCATGAAGCCAATAAGAGAAATAATGTTTGAGACTAGTTTGACCCCCTCCTTCCTGTAGCATTGTCAAATCATTTCACTTTTACAGAGAAAAGTTTCTTAGTTTTTAAGAGAACGGTAGATTCATCACGTATGGCCATGTTTTGGTTTCAGATAATATTTGTAGTATTGGTTGAAACATGGCTCTCTAGTGATGTTTGAGTGCTTTGATAAGGATGAAGAGTGGAGTTAATGTTTGTCTTCTAGTTTGCCAATCAAGTTGAAATATTTTTTGTCTCCAAGAAATAAGTTGTTTATTCTGTATGTTTCTCTGTAAACTTCTCATCCACTTTGTTTTTGTGCGTATACCACATGTTTGTAAGATATGATAAAGGATTCCTTGGGACGCTTTTGAATAAATAATTTTACTATAACGTATTTGATTTACTATTACTCTCTTTCTTTATCAGTTTATCACAAGTTGCAGATTGTTGCAGCTCCTTGTGCCAGAAGATGACATCATGGCAGATTCATGAACAGCCAGCAGATGGACACATTGAGTTACATAAATAAGATCAGCAGAGTGAGGGGTGGTCTCTGCTTCCAAAATGTGTTTTTGCTTCCAGTATGTACTTGTGCACTCCACCTACAAGAAGTATGTTGAACATAGTTATTTCCTGCATTCGTTCTGCTCTCTCTAGGCCTCTTATTAACCCTTCAAATGTCCTTTTCTCACGTTTCAAACTTTAGTCATCTTGTAACCTCTCTTCTCATCCACCCAGTTGTTAAAGTCAGTCAGTAAATAGAGAGACACCATGTACTCACCCTTACACTTACACCTATATAGCCTCCATGACAATCTTTTTAATACACACTATAATAATAATTGATACTTTTATAACAATATAACAAACAACAATGTGAAAAGGGCTTCTGGTAGTGATGAACTTACAGAATTCTCACCTGAATCTGCAGTTCCCTTGGCTTTACAGAGTTTTAAAGTGAGTTTTAACTTGTTTAGCTGGAACTATTGTTTTGGTTCACTCTCACTCCTCTCATAGTGTTTTCCAGTCACAGTAGATTTCAACCAAAAAGCTCTATAAGTCCATGTACACTACCTGCTCAGCACCAAACAGAAAACACACACCTAGTGACTAGCTGGTGAACATAGTGGAGCATTTAGCAGCTAAAGAGAGTTATTTCCCTCAGGAGACCAAAAACAAAGCTAAAAAAAACTGGACTTGCTGTATACTCAACAGATGGTCACAAACACAACTTCATATGAACGATAATGTTGCTCCGTAACTGCTGGATGTGTAAATAAACAACTGTTTCTCTCTCGTGAAACAACTAAATCTGTTCAAACTTTATCAGAAAAGTTAGTGTGTTAGTGTTCATGTTCGACTGCGTCATTCACAGTAATATGTTCGCTACCAATTTTCACCCAATTTCACACAAGAAGTGAAGTTGTGAATGTTCTCTTTGAAGTCTGAATAAACATCTCCATATTTTATCTTGAAAATCATCAAGGGACTGCTCTGGCGCCAATCACTGTGGATTCTTGCCACAGCTTCTAAGGATATGAGAGGTACAAATAAAACTAATTAGATCACGACCTAAATTGCTGATCACGATCTGCGATCAGTCTATGTAAAGTAACATGGTCCTGTTGGGGGGTGCTGCTACTGCTCGACTCTGGCAGCCTGTCGGAGTTGGCCTTCAAGGAATGCGGTTTTGTTTTGAGCGAGTTCTTCACAGTTAGAGCTGTTGATGTGGAAATTTTTTAGGTTTATCCTGATGTCCTTGAGACACTTCATCTGACCTCCCAGTGCTTGTTGGCGAGCAGTTAATTCTGAGTAGAGGACCTGTTTTTGGTGGTGTGTCAGGCATTCGAATTACATGGCCTGTCCATCTAAGCTGGTGTTTTAATAATGGTGGTGGTAATGCTATCGATGTGTACTTCCTCGAGAACATTGAAGTCGATCTGCTTGTCTTTCCAGTTGATATGCAAGATTTATCACAGGCATCTCTGGTGGTAGCACTCCAGGACCCTTACATGCCTGTTGTAGGTAGTCAGGTATTTGCAGGTATTTGGGCAAGGGAACTGCCTTGTAGTCCAGTAGCATGGTCTTTGCAAGCAGGTCAGAGTTTTCAAAACTCTTCTGCAGTCTTTTTTATGTTCATAGACAAACCAAAAAGTGTGTACACCCTGGCAAAAACATCAGTGTTTTTGATATATATATATATATATATATACTAATATTAGATTATTTTAATATATATATATATATATATATATGTACTAATGATATTTTTGTGTGTGGGTGATGATGTTGCAACCTTGATCTCCTCATCCATTTTCAGCATTGTTTGTCTGTCCTTAGAGCAGAAGAGGTTGGATCCTTAGCAGCTGGGACCATAAACAGCTTTAGTGGCATTAAAGAAACACCTTGTGTTACCTGTTTCTACAAGATTTTGAATTTCATAGGCTTTCTCTACCCACCATTTGTTTTTGAGTTCCCTTCCCTGGCGCTGGACAAAGGACTTGGTTCTGGAATGAGCTTCCCTCTTAGCTTGTTAAGTGATGTCCACAAAAGGTCTGTCTTTTTTTGGGGGGCAGCATTGCTTTTTCCTTGGTCTTCTTGCGGGCATTAGTCTGACGGCCATAATTACAAGAATAAGACGATGGTTGGTCCAGAATCCATCTGTACTAGTCATTGTCCTTGTTAGATGTACTTTGCGCCTGTCTCCGGCCTGGACAATGCTATAATCAATTAGATTATGTTGCTAGGGGGTTTGGGTACACCCCTGGAGTTTTCTGCAGTTGCTTGCTAAAAGAGCAAGAGGTCCTCACAATTCCTTGGCTGAAAACGGACATATATTTATTTCAAGCTGGCTCTTCAGCTCGCTAGAGAATTTGCTGGCACCCTGGAGAGACAGTGCTGGCCAGCCAAGCAAAACTCCCACACACTACTACTGTACACAGTCAAATGAGGGAGAGGGAGGAGTGAGTGTGTGTGTGCTCTAAACATCTACTAGTTTCAGCTGACTTCATTAAATAGGCCAGAGTGATGCTCTCAAGATAGTTCAGTGTAATTTGTCTGAAAATATTTTAATTATGCAGGTGTACAGGCTGTATTGTGTACAGGAAACATGCTGTTCTTAATTACTGTCACTTGATGTGACATTTGATTTGAGTTTTTGCTGTGGTAAAATGTTTTATGTTGAAGTGTTTTTCCACTCAGGTAGTTTCAGTAATTACGTATTTTTTGCATAGTGTGATAGCCAGTGAAAACACAGCCTCTGCTCTATCGCTGTCCAATCCTGTCACTCTCTCTGCTCTGTTGTCCATCATCAATCATTTCTCTAAAGAACATTTCTACTGACCATTCCTCAATATATGAAAATGCAAACTTTATTTTTACAGTTACATGACTGCCTCAAAACACACCGTCTGTGGCTATAGACTAACCTACCCTCTCTCAAGGCTTTGAAGCCAAGAGAAACAACGCCCTGATTCATGGGTTCACAAGCAAATTCTATTCTATTCTCAGCAGTGCCGCAGTGTTTCACCATAATACCATACTTAGTCTGTGAAGATAATGTTGTTGGAGTGCAAATGGAGTTTTTTCTATTAATGGATGGCTTGGAAAGGGGGTGGTATGAGAAAGAAACATTTGGGTCATAAAACTGCCACGGTGTATACAATCATGTTCTAGACTGTAGTTCTCATTCCCTCCTGTGATTACACTGGTGATAGTTAATGGATATAAAAATACACATGCATTTACATGCATGAAGTGCATTTATTATTAGATGTCTTATAATGATTAATAAGTTATCAGCTTGAACATGAAATCATCCACACATCTGTGTATTTTCATTTGTATTGCTGCAGTGTTTTTGTGGTGCATGTAAAATAAGAATGCATATCTTCCTCTGATTGATATCTAAGGTGTAAAAAGGTTATGTTGCTTGCCTGTGTATTCTTCACCCTGCAACAACTGATTTTTTGGCCACTTGGGGGCAGCATAAACTTGTGAGCATAATATTGACATGATCACCATCTAAGTTGATATGTTGAACTTGTTAAGCAAAGAGTTGCTTATTTACTCATCCACCAGGTATGGAGCAACATTTTCATTGATTCAGATTTATGTACATGTAAATACAATATTCTCTTTTTCTTTTAGCTCCGTTTTTGGTCTCTCTAAACTTCTAGGGGAAATATCTGGCTCTTTAGCTGCTAAATCCTCCAACATGTTCACCAGCTCGTTGTTAACTGTGTCCGTGTGTCTTTTGTTTCATGCTGAGCAGGTAGTTTACACAGTTTTTGGAGTATTTGCACTGAAAACAGCTGCCTGCAACGTTCTGACTAAACAAAACAAAGCTAAACAATGAGCTCTGTAAAACTAAAGGGAACTGCAGATTCAGATGACAATTTGCTTCACTACCGGAGACCTCTTTCACATTGTCACACTGTTTTCACATTACCATTTGATATATTGTTATTATACAAATATCAATTTTTGCCAAGTAGTAAATATACAGCAGCTTTATTTTGGTCTACTTTGCTGCAAGCATGGATCTGAAGGACTGCAAAAAGGATAAATGGCAGCATTCAAAAACATTCAAATAAGTTTTTATATCTCTTTTATTGCTAACTAAATTTGAGGTACTGCGAGGTCAGGAGAGAAACAACACTACACAGTTGGACGGCTCTTACACAGAGAGAATTTTCCTCTCAAGAGACTAGATATCAACGAAGCACTTCAGGCCCAGAACGAACGTGGCTGCTGCTGCTGACAGTTCTAATGATTTCATCACACACACCATTATCAGTGTTGGTGAGATGTAATGTCCCCCCCGCCCTCCACCATCAGGACTCCACACACATCTCAAGAACCATGAAATGACCAGAGCTTAAATATGCGGCTGTGTCATCCCCTCCCTGCAAACCACTGAGTTTATTCTCGCTTCAGAGCTCGCTCATCTCGCCATGCTCTGTCAGTTGGGCCAACACTCCCTACAGACTCTGACCACTTGAAATTGTGTTGCAGTTTCAGCCCATCTACCCCTGGAGAGGTGACCCAGTAACTGGCAGTCATAACAGCCAAATTGACAAGGTGGTGATATTCAGTAGTGCAGGTCACCACCAGGCCATGTCGTGCTCTTAGAAGCTCTGAGGCTGTAAGTCAAATTCCACCGCTATCCTGTTAAGTTGGGACACACTTTGTGACTCTGCTTCCTCTACCTTCTATGATCTTGGATGGTGTCCCAGGCCGAGCTGGAATCATCTCAGAGAATGTCACACTCTGTGATGTAACAAGTCAAACGTCAATTCACAGCAACTGAGGGGATACTGTCATGACTGATGGAAACTGTTTGAGCCATCTGTCGACAGTGTTCACCACCATTGCTGGCACAGCG